TTAAAAATTAAAGAATTTAACATTTTTGAGGGAAAAATAGATGTCATATATCTTTTAATAATTGAAACTTTAGGATTATATCTCAATATTATTAAGCTTACAAGTATGATAGAAATTTAAATTTTTTATTTTAATGTGAAGCTCTTGAAGGTTTGACTATTGAAACTGCATATTGTGGAGTTCTACAACAATAAATATTTAATTTATCATATTCTTTGCAAGCAAGTTTCCTAATATCTTACATTTTTTATAGTGGATAATTTCTGAATAATATTTGCAGAACATTGAGACTAGAAAATCATTTCTGATATTCCATTTAGAGTAAATATTTTCCCAGAGTAAATTATGACATTGATTATAATTATACCTTTTATTATGTGTAGAGAATAAATATGATTAATTTTAGTTATTGCTATACATAAAGAAGTAATAATTCACTTTAAGGTTATCTATTATACTGCTAAATATTTTTATAGTGGTAATAAAATAATTTTCCTATGTTTTTATACTTATTTCTATTAAAATCATCTCTTTATCTTTGACATATTGCTTACACTCTATTTCTGGGAAAAAAGAAAAGTGATTCGCCTTTTTTATTTGATACCTTGGCTTAGAAGTGTTCCTTCTAAGGAACATAGTGGGGCTCAGAAGAGTTTTTGTTTGCTAAAGATAGAAAGGTAGGAGATGATGACATAAGTGTACCCTCCGCTTTTGAGTTTATGCCAACTCATAGCAATCCTACATTGGGTTTCTGGGACTATAAGTCTTTACACAGGAGCAGACTACTCTTCTTTCTTCCATGGAACAGCTATTGGATTTGAACTGGTGACCTTTCAGTTGACAGTGTATCATATAGCACACTAAATCACCTGAGCTACTTGGATGTGCTCTAAATGTATATTTTCATTTCTCCACATGTTATTCTTTGTCACAGTTAATACCAGTAATGCTAGGCAAACAGAAAACCAACTATTATTGTTTAGGAAATCTATTTTTATAATAAAACTTTTACTGTGTTTTCTGATTTGTACATTTTATGAGGATTTAGAAATTTTACTCTTCTGAGTTCCATACATCCATAAAATTCAGTTCACATTCTACGTGCACCCCAGAAGTCAACATATTGCTGTCTACTATACCACTTAAGCTTAAAAATTAAAACATTGGTATTATGAATAGAAGGAGAATGGCACAGGATAAGGTAGGGTTCAGTTCTGCTGTTAATAGGGTTGCTGTGAATTGTGGTCAACTCAAGGGCACATAACAACAAGATGATGTGAAGAAATTGAGGTGAAAGGAAGATCCTGGGAAAGAAAAATGATATTTTATTTTAGGCTTAATAGGTAGCCAAATGTAGTGAGGTGAGGACAGAGTGAAAGTGACTTTTTCCCCCTTGCTTTTGTTTTCTTTTCTTTTTTATTAAGCTTCCTGTGCAAAAAGAAAACAAAATCACCCAGTCTAAACATTTTTCAACTTGGACAACTCTAATCTCTCTTTTTCTTTTTTCCTGTTCTCCCAAACTTTTGCCAAGAAAATAAACAACATTTAGTGACTAATAATATAGCAGTTGCTACACAGGCCAGTAGGAACCCAATGACATCCAAAGAATGGTACTGGAACCAGGTAAGGTCATGGGCAGCTGGGCGAAGATGCTTGGCTCCTTTGTGGCGCATGACAAACTCTATCCAGAAGACAGCTCGATCCAGGGGCTTTACAGGCTGATCATGATGAATTCTTGATAACCTCATTGCATTCTCTTTATAACTGGGGACAAATGCATAAACAGAGAAAAGAGATGATTTAAACATGAAAGTATTAAAAATTTTGATAAGATAAATTATTCAGGAAATAAAATAACAAAGTGACTATTATATGTATTGTGCCATAGTAGTTATTTTAAAATAAACCAATTACAAAGACATTAAACATAGAAAAATATTTAGTATGATGGATAATTTAGTAACTACAGACATTAAGGAAGGTAGAGTACTTACTAAGGATCATTAATGACTGTTTTCAAAGCATTGAACAAATCTGCACTTGTCATTGTGTTCATATTCAGATCCACAGCTGCTCCTTTAGCCGTCATGTGGGCAATGTTATCAGGCTGATCCGCAAACATAGGCAATCCCACCATAGGAACCCCATGATAAATAGCTTCATAGAGCCCATTTGTTCCACCGTGAGTAATGAAGGCTTTTGTTTTGGGGTGACCTAGTTTGGAGGTTGAGAGAGAGAGTTTGGAGGTTGTGTAGAAGTAAGATTGTCATTACAACACATTAACACAAATTCAGAGAGTCCAGTAATTATTGAACTGGTGTATTGGGTTTATTTCAATACTCTTGTGCAAGTTCAAACTGATACCGAAGGAAATGAAAACACATCCACAAGAAAAAAAAATACTACTGTAAGTCAATTCCACTTGAATTTAGAAATCATCTCAAGAACAGATTTCATTCATTGGACACTAATGTCCAGAGACAAGACTAGTTGTGGGATGATATCAAGGATACCACCCATCCTTGATGAAACAAAAAGGTCTTTATAAAGACAGGAGAAGAGCGGAAAAAACACAAATTGTAAATCACAAGTGACTCTGAAACTCACACTAGAACTTAGGCCAAAACAAGAGAGGAAATGTTGAGAAAAGACAGATGAACATAAGATTTGAAAAGGCAAACTTAGAAGACAAAACAAAGTATTATAAAGAAATGTGCAAAAAACTAAGGTTAGAGAATGAAAAAGAAAATAATAGGCTTGATATTTATCAGTTCAAACCTGTTTCAGAATCTTTTAAATGAGGTGGTGATGGTACATGATCTTGAGGGAAAACAGAATATCAGAAACATGTTTAATTGTGCTTTATTATTTATATGTCATTAAAACTTATACACAGAACAAGAGACAGTTGTCCAAACATAAAAAGGGAATACTATATGGTCTAAAGTCAGGAGATGTGTACATAAGAGTTGTGCCCTTTCTCCATAATTATTCAATCTGTATGGTGGAAAAGAAATCAGGAAACTGAATTATATGAAGAAGAATATGATATCAACATTGAAGGAAGACTCAACAATAACCTTCTTACATAGATGACATAAACAACAACAACAACCTTCAATATAGATTACATCTTAATGTCAAGAAAATAAAAATCTTCACCACTGCACCAAACAGGAAACCCTATAGTATATGGAGAAAAATTTGAAATTTTCAATTATTTCGTTTTACTGGGATGCAGAATCAACAACCATGTTAACAACAATCAAGAAATCAAAAGATGTGCATTCTATCAAACACATTTCCAAAGTGCTAAAAAACAAAGGTGCATATTTTCTCTTGTTCCCAAGAAAAATTATCTGATAAAATGTCAAGATTATTGAACAATATCATTGATATCACACGCAAGCAAAATATTGCTGAAGATCATTCAAAGATGGATAGATCAGTGTATTGACAGAGAAGTGACAGAAGTTCAAACTGGGTTTAGAAGAGGCTTCTTTTATAGGGAAACCATTACTGATGTCAGATGGTTCTTAGCACAAAGCAGAGACTACCAGAAGATTGACTGTATTTTACTGACTATGCGAAGGCATTTCAGTGTGTGTAAAACCCTTAATAAAATATAGTTAATGCTGAGAAGAATGGGAATCCCAGAAAATTCAGTTAGTCTTATATAAAACCTATATGAAAGCCAAGAAGCTGCTTCCTGAACCACAATGGAATGTTACATGGTTTCAAGTCGAGAAAGGAGTGTCTCAGGGTTATATTTTTACCCATACCTATTTAATCTGTATGTTGAGAAAATAATGTGAGAAACTGGATTTTATTATTTGTTTGTGTGTGTCTGTACCATCAAATCGGATCTGACTGGCGATACAGGAGGGGATTGTTCCTCTTTCTCCTGCAGAGCATTTGGTGGATTTGAACCACCTGCCACTGAGATTACAGTCAGCTTCTTGCCACTAGGCCACCAGAGCTCCCTGAGAAACTGGATTTTTATGAAGAGGAATGTGGTATCAAAATAGGAGGAAGTCTCATCAACAATTTGTATTATGGAGATAACAACCTTGCTTATTGAAAGAGAAGAGGACCTGAAATTCTTGTTGCAGAAAATCAAAGACTACAGCCTTTAATATGGATTACATCTCAACGTTGTTGTTGTTGTTGTTGTGTACCATCAAGTCAGAACTGACCCATAGCTGACTTTCCAGCAAGAATAACAAATCACATGGGAGGAGACTGCCCAACCTTCTCCTGTGGAACAGCTGGTGAATTCGAATCACATAACTTCAAGAATGCAGTGCAGTTTCTTAACACTAGGCCACCAGATAAAGAAGACAAAAATTTTCATCTTCCTGGGATCCACAATCAACACCTTTGACACCAGCACTAAAGAAATCAGAAGATGTGCTACAAATGGAAAGTCTGCTGTCAGGGTCATTTCCAAAGAACTGAGAATCAATGTGTGTCTGATTCAGGTTATGGTCTGATGCTATGCATCTGAGAGCTGAACAGTGTATAAGGATGACTGAAGAAGAATCAATGTCTTTGAGTTGTGGTGTTGGAGAAGAGTACTGAATATTCCATGGACTGCAAAAAGAATAATTATGTCTTGGAGAAAGTGCACCAGGATTGATTCTTGGAGATAAAGTGTAGGACTTTCATTTCACTTTGGATATTCTGTTAAGAGGGGCGCAAGCTTGGAAAGGTGGAGTGTCACTGAAAGAAAGGAAAACTTTCAACGAGATAGATTAGCACAGTGATGGCAGTGATGGTGATGGGTTTGAGGATGTCAGAGATGATGAGGATGGCACAGGATAGAACAGAGTTCAGATCCATTGTTCACAGGGTTACTAATATTTGTACAAAATTCTACACCACTTAACAACAACAACCAAGCAAGGATGACAGTTTTTAAAGACAAATGTTGGCCTGATCCAAGTCATGATCTTTTCAATTGCTTTCTATGAATCTGAAAGTTAGATAATGAGTAAGAATGACAGAGTCAATGTTTTGTGTTATGGGTTCAAAAAGAATAACAAATATCCTATGTGCTGCTAAAAGAACAAATTAGTCATTCTTCAGGGAAGTGCAACCTAGGTGCTCCTTGAAGGCAAGTATGGTGAAAGTTAGATAGTTTGGGCATGTTGTCAGGATGGGCCAGTTCTTAGAAAAAAAAGATATTTACATCACGTTGGGAAAGGTGGAGGGTCAGAGAAAAAGAGAAAGACTCTCAACAAAATGGATTGACTCACTAACTGTCACATTGGGCACACCATAACAGAGATGGTGATGATGGAGTAGGATAGGGCAAAGCTCAAATATGTTGTTCATAGGACTGTATGCATTGCCATTAACTCAAAGCCACTTAACAACCACAAAAATAGTAACAATGGATTTGTTGTTCAAAATAGCTTTCTTACTCCATTGCATTTGACTTTTGCCACATGACTGGGTGAGAACAAGCAAATAGACTATATAGATTACCAATGATGAAGTAGTTAGCATTGCCATTCTGCAGGCTTATATCAAGTATGTTGAGAACCAGTGATAGAAATCTTGCTACCAACAAGAAGGATGTATAGAGTGGCAGAGTGCTTCTGTCAGGGTCAGAGATTCCTGAGCAACTTAGATAAGTATCTAGATGAAACCACCAACATGAGACAGAGCTGACTAGTGACCACATAGAATCAAAGCTAGAGTCATAAGTCTTTATGCTGGAAGACTTGGAGTGGAGGAGTTGCCATAACTAGTATGTTTTCAGAGACTTTTGTAATAGTGACCTAAAAGCCATGAGTCTAAGATCCTGTAAATATAACTGAGAAGCTATCTTGACTGATCCCTATCTTGACTGATACTAGTAAGAGTGATATTGAAGATCACTAATATCATATCCAAGAAAGATCCTGTTGAAGATTACCCAAAAACAACTGGATCAGTACATCAGCAGAGAACTGCCTGATGTGCAGGCTGGGTTTAGAATAGGCCATGGCACTAGGGACAGCATAGGCAATGTTAGATGGATCTTGGCTAAAAGCACATAGTACAGGAGGAATGCCTATCTGTGTTTCATTAACCATGCAAAGCCATTTGACTATGTGGATCACAACAAATTCTGGCTAACCTTGAAAAGGATGGGATCCCAGAACACTTGATTGTGCTCATGCAAAACCTATACTTGCTTGGACCAGGAAGCAGCAGTCAGAACAGAGTAAAGAAACATTACCTGGTTCAGAATCAGGAAAAGTGCATATACAGGAAGCATCCTATCTCCATACCTTTTCAAGTTATACAGAACAGATCATTCATGAGACTTTATGAGGAGGAATGTGGTATCAGGATTGGAGAAAGACTCATCAACAACCTGCATTATGCAGATGACACAATCTTGCTTGCTGAAAGTGAGGAGGACCTGAGACATATACTACAGAAGATCAAGGACTATGGTCTTCAATATGGCTCTGGATTGAAACCCAACATCAAGAAAACAAAGATTCTCATCGCTGAGCCAATTCACAGCTTCATGATAGATGGAGAAAAGTTTGTGACTTTTAACAACTTCAGCTTACTTGGTTCCACAATCAATACTCTTGGTGCCAGCATTCAGGAAATTAAAATTGTATTGGGAAAGTCTGCTATCAGGGACCACTCTAGAGTACTGAAGAGAAATGATGTAAGTCTGGTGACTAAAGTGTGCCTGATCCAAGCCATAGTCTTTGTAATTACTTCCTATGCATCAGAGAACTGGACAATGATTAAGTAGGATAGAAGAATTAATACCTTTGAGTTGTGCTGCTTGAGAAGAGTGTCGAGCATAATATGAACTGCCAGAAGAACAAATAGGTCAGTCCTAGAGAGGGTAAGACCAAGCTGCTCCCTGTAGCGAAGTTATTTGAAGCTCCATCTCACATACTTTGGGCACATGGCCAGGTAGAACCAGGTTTTGTAGAAGGGTGGAGGGACAGTACAGGAGAGGAAGACCCAGGATGAGATGGATTGACTCAGTTACTGGAGAAATGGGATTAGGTCTGTCAGTGACTATGAGATAAGTTCAGGAAAAGGCAGGGTTCAGAACTGTTGTACATAGGGTCACTATGAGTTACAGGTGACTTGACGGCACATTAACAATAACAATCTTGACTGAATCATAATATCCTGTTTGTAACCTGAATTGTAGACTGTTCATTTCCCCAATAAAACTCATAAAAATGATTATGGTCTGTGACTACAGTGTGACCTTGTAATTTAATAAATTATCCAATATAAAACATCAAGAGTCCTAGGAGTCACCTGGTGTTAGCATTGGTAGAAGTAGGTTTAAAACAGCATGGGAGTATGCCCCACCTAACAAGACTCAGTTTTATTCTGTTGATTTTGTTTGTTGTGACTGTTTTCTCTTGTGGCATTACATGGCACTCAGACCATTGTTATCTCTACGATAACTCACTGAAGAAGTCAGAGGTTGCATATCCATGTATTTTTATCCATGAATTCAACCAATCGTGGATGGAAAACTTGCTTCTCTAATACCCACAGAGGAGACAAACTTGTAAAAAGTAATCTTTAATGACCAAAGCAATCCCTTAAAAGCCTACAGGGAATAAAGTGCTATTTAGGTAGAATTTGTATTGTTTTAAGTGCTGTAAGTAATCTAGAGATTATTAAAATAATAGCGAGAATGTGCATAGGTTATATGAAAACATATTATTTTGTATTTGTGACATAAGCATCCACAGATTTTGGTATCTGCAGGATTCCTAAAACCAGTCCTTTGCATATTTCAAGGGAACACTGTTCATAGCTATTGCTAGCCCAAAAGGCAAGTCCTAGAGAAATGAGGAATTAATTGTTTCTGTATTGTATGAGAAATCTTTACTGAGGAGGTGATATTTGAACTGCATTAAATCTGGGAGACAGTTTAAACACTGAATTGTATTATTCTGATGGGAACCATAGGGAACATAAATCTACAAAATGAGTGCCCATATATTTAACTATTCCTTTTAAACCTGGAAGGATCTGCTGAATTTGCTATTAAATAGTTATCCAAATTATTCCTTACTCAATTGTACAGTTTCAGTTTGTTGTTTGTTTTTCCTTTCCAGTCTTACCAAGAAGGTCATTCTGGGGTATCCAATCATACAGTCGAGTATTTGCTCCTAATGTGGCTGGCTTTACTCCTTTGTATCTCCATAAAACCTATGCAAAAAATAAATATATTAACAATAACACTTATTTCACAAGTGTAAAGTCAGAATTATGGCATTTTAAGGCCTTCTGCAAACTATTTGCTCAGTCTTATTATGTGAAGGAGCTCTGAAGGCCTAATCGATAAGGAATTATGTTGCCAACCCAAAGGTTGAGCTTCTTTATTAGTTCACAGTCCTGTCTCCATACCTTTTCAACCTGTATGCAGAGCAGATTATCCGAGAGGCTGGGCTCTATGAGGAGAAGCGTGGCGTTAGGATTGGTGGACAATCTATCAACAATCTGCGTTATGCAGATGACACAACCCTGCTCGCTGAAACTGAGGAGGACCTCATGCACTTACTGCAGAGGGTCAAGGACTGCAGCCTTCAATATGGAATGAGGCTCAATGTCCAGAAGACAAAAATTCTCACTACTGGACCAATCGGTAGCATCAGGATGGATGGTGAAGGGATTGAGATTGTTCACAGCTTCAGTTTGCTTGGCTCCACAGTCAACACTCTTGGCACCAGTAGCCAGGAAATAAAAAAAAACGTATTGCGATGGGAAAGTCTGCGGTTAGGGACCTCTCTAAAGTACTCAAGAGCAGCAGTGTCTCTCTGGAGACTAAGGTGCGCCTGATACAGACCATGGTTTTTGAAATCACTTGTTATGCATCAGAGAGTTGGACAATGACTAGGGAGAACAGAAGGAGAATTGATGCCTTTGAGCTGTGGTGCTGGAGAAGAGTACTGAATGTACCATGGACTGCCAAGAAAACAAATAGATTCATCCTAGAGAGGGTTAAAGCAAGCTGCTCCTTGGAGGCAAGGATTCTGGGGCTTTGCCTGACATACTTTGGACATGTTGTAAGGAGAGACAGGTCTTTGGAGAGGGACATCATGCTGGGCAGAGTGGAGGGACAGCGCAGGAGGGGAAGACCCTCTATGAGGTGGATTGATTCAGTGACTGGGGTAATCGGGATGGATTTGTCAGAGGCAGTGAGATTGGCACAGGATAGCGCAGGGTTTAGGGCTGTTGTACATAGGGTCACTATGAGTCGAAGGCTACTCGACAGCACATAACAACAACAACAACCAGTTACTCTGCAGGACAAGTTGGACAATCTCCTCCTATGCACTTTACTACCTCAGAAACCCACTGGAAAGTCATCTAAGAGATAATTCCATCTTTTTTTAAAAACTAGATTTTTTTTTCTTTTGTACTGATTTACTTTCAAGGTTCATATATATCGTTTTTCACACCAGATTGTTCTCATTTCCTTTACCCACCATTCCACCCATCAAAGTGTATGACCCTATGATTAATCACCCCCTCCCCACTCCTGCTCATCCTCACTAACCTGTGCTCCCACCCCATTACCTTTGAATCCTCATACACATTTTCCAATGATAGTTTTAAACAGTATTTATCCTTATGGGACTGAATTAGTTCACTTAGCATAATAATCTCCAGTAGCTCCCAAGTTAGGTAGTGATTTACAAAATCTTTGTTCTTGGATTCTGCATAATATTCGATCATGTGAATATTCCATATTTTCTCAATTCATTTGATTGTGGTTGGATATTTGGGCTGTTTCCATGTTCTTGCAATGGTGAATAATGTTACTATGAACATTGGCATACAAGTCTCTGTTTGAGCCTCAGTTCTCATTTCCTCAGGGTATATTATGGAATGTCTATGATCTACTTTCTGAGGAAACGCCAAACTGCCTTCCAGAGTAGTTGTACCATTTTACAATCCCACCAACAGTGTATAAGAATTCCTATCTCTCTACATCCTCTCCAACATTTATTATTTGTTGCCCTGTTAAATATTACCACTCTATTGGAGAGAGATGGTATCTCATAGTGGTTTTGATTTGCATGTCTCTTATTGCCAGTGATTTGGGAGCATTTCTTCATGTGTCTGTTGGTCATCCAAGTATCTTCTTCCGTGAAAATTCTATGTCTTTTACCCATTTTGTAATTGTGTTATCAATCTTTTCTTGCGGAGGCCCTGTAGCATTCTCTAAACTTTCTTTAAAAACTCAATCACATAGCGAGTTATTCAGTTTGCACATGGGTGGTTTTGTAAGCTTTACATTCCTGTGAGTAATTTCTAGTTTTATGGCATTGAGATCTGAGAAGATACTTTGTATTATTTCAATGTTTTTTTAATTTGTTGAATTTTGCTTTGTGTATTAATATGCAATAGATCCAAGAGAATGTACCATATGCACTTGAGAAGAAAGTGAATTGGGTTTATTTAAGTGTAGTATCCTGAATACATCCACAAGGTCAAGTTGACTGATTATATAGTTTAGCTCTTCTGCATTTTTGTTAAATTGCTTTTGAGTTTACCTATCCTTTGTTGACACTGTGTGTTGAAGTCTCCTACCACTTTTTTAGTTCTATTTCTTTTTTCAATTATATTAACCATTGTTTTATGTATTTTGTAGGTTATCATTTGTGCATAAATGCTGACCAAGGTTATGTGTTTATAATCTATTTTGCCTTTAATTGGTATGAATTGCCCTTCCTTATCTTTTATGGTGGCTTTCATTCTGAAGTCCATTTTATTGCCACTCCTGCTTTTTTGTGGATGCTATTTGCTTGGTATGCTATTTCCACCCTTTGATTTTGAGTCTATCTTTCTCTCCTTAATAGCAAAGCTGGTGTGAGTGAGTGACTACGTTAAAGTTGAGGAGTACTATTTTAGGAGACATTTGAAATAAAGTAAAATCATTTATATCCATCTTTTTAAAAGAGAGTCTTAAACATACTATGGACCACCAAGAAAATAAATAAGTCTGTCTTGGAGAGGGTGAAACCAACTTTTTCCTTGGAGGGTAGGATTTTGAAGCTCTATCTCACAAACAAGGGCTTGCAGACAGGAGGGACAAGTTCTTAGATAAGGACGTCATGCTTGGAAGGTTGGAAGGGCAGCACAAGAGGGGAAGACTCCCAATGAGATGGATTGATAACTGGAGTCATAAGGGTGAGTGTGTCAGAGTCAGTGAGACTGGCTCAGAATAAGGCAGACTTCAGAGCTGTTGTACATAGGGTTGCTATGAGTTGCAGGAGATTCGAAGGCACTTAACAACAACAAGCAATGCTATTTTTCAATTATATATTTAAAAACTTCTAGATTTCTTTCTAAATTTACTATAAGAAAATAAAATAATACTGGAATAACTTTATCATTATATCAATAGACATCATGATACCTGAAAAAAAAATCAAAGCTGTAAAAGATTTCATGTTTCTTGGATTCACAATCTACACTCATGCTAATACCAATCAGGAAATCAAAAGATTTATTACACTGGGAAAATCTGCAGTAAAGGATTTGTGCTAAATAGCAAAGGTATCAGTTTAAGGACTAAGCGGTGCCTGGTTCAGTGCTTGGTATTTTCAGTTCAGTTGGTCCTTGTGCATCTGAAAGCTAGAAATGTAGTAATGTTGACAGAATAAAAATATTGTTGTTGTTTTGTTAGGTACCACTGAGGTGAGCGTGACTCGTTAGCTACCCATGAACAACTGGTCTGAACACTGTTCTATCCTGTACCATTCTCTCAATCTCTGACACCCTTAGCCCATTGTTGCAGTCACCACATCAACCCACCTGGTTGAGGATTTTTCTCTTTTTCACTGCCCCTCCACTTTCCCAGGGAGTAACCTCTCCTAGCAACATGACCAAAGTATGTGAGATGAAGCTTCATCATTTTTGCCACCAAGGACCACTCTAGCTGTAACTTCTCTGAAACTTATCTGTTCTTTTGGCAGTCCATGGGATATTCAGCACTCTAACATCACAGTTCAAAGGCATCCAATCTTTTGTCATCCTTAGTCATTGTCCATCTCTCAGATGCATAGCAAATGACTGAAAAGATCATGTCCTGTATCACATACATCTTAGTCTTCAAATTGACATCATTGCTTTTTAATAATTTGGAGAGGTCCCTGACTATAGACTTTACTGCTGGTACCAAGTGTATTATTGATTGTGGATCCAAGCAAGATAAAGTTTTTGACAGTCTCAATCCTTTCCTTGTCTATCATAATGTTGCCTATTGGTCCATGGCAATATATTTTTTTAAATGTTGAGATCCAACACATATTGAAGACTGTTGTATTTAACTTTCAGCAGTAAAACATTTTCACTTTCAGCAAGATTGTATAATCTGCATAACAAAGTTATTGATGAGTCTTCCTCCAATCTTGATGTCACATTTTCTTCATAGATTCTAGTTTCTCAAATAATTTGCTCAGCATATAGGTTAAATAGGTATGGATAAAGGATACAACCTGAATGTACACATTTTCTAAATTTAAATAATTCAGTGTTCTTTTGTTTGTTTGCACAATAGCCCCAAGATCTAGGTATAGGTTTTGCATGAGCACAATCAAGTGTTTTGGGATTCTCATTCTTCTCAATTTTAACCACAGATTATTGTGATCCACACAGTCAAATACTTTTGCATATAGTCAATAAAACACAAACAGACTTTCGTCTGGTATTCATTGCTTTCAGCCAGGATCCATCTGAAATCAACGATGATACCTCTGGTGCCACAGGATCTTCTAGATCCAGCATGAACATTACATTTGGCAGTTCTCTATATACTGTTATAGCTGTTTTTGAATGATCTTCAGCAATATTTTGCTTACATGTGAAATTAATGTTATTACTTTATAATTTCTACATTCAGTTGGATCACTTTTTGTGGGAATGGGAACAAAACATTGATTTCTTCCAGTCATTTGACAAGTCAGCTCTCCTTCAAATTTCCTAGCATAAACTGGTGAGCACATCCAAGACTGCATCTGTCATTTGAAGCAGTTGGTATCTCATCAATTCCTGGGCTTTATATTATTAAAAGCCTTCTGTGCATCTTGAATTTCTTCCTTCATTATCATTGACTCTTTATATCATATGGTATTTTTTCAAATATTTCAGTGTCAGCCAATTCTTTTTGGTAGTGATTTTGTGTTTCCCCTCCAACTTTT